GGCGATGCTGAGCTCTAGTCCCGCCTCAGGCATGAAAGTCGGCTGGGTGACTTTGGGCCAAACACCAGGAGACGGTGAGTTCTAGTCCCACCTTACGCATGAAAGCTAGCCAGATGACTTTGGGCCAAGCAGCAGGTGACGGTAAGCTGTAGTCCTGCTTTAGGCACAAAAACCAGCTAGTTGACTTTGGGCCAATCACCAGAGGATGATGATTTCTAGTCCCACCTTAGGCATGAAAACTGGCTGGACGACCTTGGGCCAATCATCAGGAGACTGTGAGTTCTAGTCTCACCTCACACACGAAAACCAGCTGGGTAACTTGGGGCCAGTCATCAGGAGACAGTGAATGCTAGTCCCGCCTTAGAGTGGAAGTCAGCAAGGTAACTTTGAGCCAGTCACCAGGAGAAGGTGAGTTCTAGTCCCACCTTAGGCATGTCAGCCAGCTGAGGGACTTTGGGCCAAGCAGCAGGAGACAAGCCCGTTTCGGGGGTCTGTCGTAACTTTGAATGGTCACTAAGCAACCCCATTGTAAGTCGAGGAATGCCTGTATTCCCGTGAGACCTTGAGATTGGGAGACACTTGCTTAATGTTGAGATTAATGTCTTCTCTACCCCAAAACCACTGGTTCCTCCTGCCTGAACGCTCAAATGGCAACAACGGGTGTGCAGATCTTTTTTTCCAAGTGGTGCAAAATGATGCTTTAAGCTCGGCTGCAGAGTGTTTTAGAGAGCACCTAATATATATTTTTTTTATTTTGTGCGATACAGTGTATTGTGTGATATTTTGGTTTGCGAGGGGGAGTTGGAAAAAAATGCCGTGCCAAATCTTAGGCTTTAGTAGTTATAGCACAAGCAGGTTTTTAATTTTTGGAATTGATAAAGGACCGTTTGGGTATTTTTAAACTGTTGCCTTAATCCTTCCCCTACGACCACAGTTGAGGCCCAACGTTTCCACGGTTAAGTAAGGCAGCGGTTAAGTGAGCTTTGCCCCCATTTTTATGATGGTTTGTTTGATCCTAATTTAGCACATCACCGCCGTTGTTAAGTGAATCATGCAGTCAATATGCAACTCTGGCTTTCTCCTTTAACCGTGCTTGCCGGAAGCTGGCTGCAAAGATCACCCCAAAATACTGATTAACAGAGGATACTGATTAACAGAGTTGGGACCTTGTAGGTCATCTAGTCCAACCCACCGCCCAAGCGGGAGACTACACCATTTTTCACCAATGGCAGTCCAGTCTCTTCTTGAAAGCCTCCAGGGATGAAGCTCCCACAATCTGAAGGCAATTTCTATCCCATGGGTTGATTGTTCTCACTGTCAGAAAATTCCTCCTTATTTCCAGATTGAATCTCTCCTTGTTCAGTTTCCGTCCATAATTCCTTGTCTGGCCTTCGGGTGCCTTGGAAAATAGTTTGACCCCCTTCCTCCTCTCTGGGGCAGCCCCTCAAATATTGGAAGATGTTATTCTGCTTCCCCTGGTCCTTCTCTTCATTAGATTAGCCAGGCCCAGTTCCTGCAACCGTTCGTCGTATGTTTGAGCCTCCAGTCCCCTCATCCTCCTGGTTGCTCTTCTCTGCCCTCTTTCCAGAGTCCAGACATCTTTTTTATAGTGTGGTGACCAAAACTGATTAATAGATTAACGGAGTTGGAAGGGACCTTGTAGGTCATCTAGTCCAACCCCCCCGCCCAAGCAGGACACCCTACACCATTTCTGACAGAGGGCAGTCCAGTCTCTCCTTGAAAGCCTCCAGGGATGAAGCTCCCACAACTTCCGAAGGCAACTTCTGTTCCATCGGTTGATGGTTCTCCCTGTCAGAAAGTTTCTCCTTATTTCCAGGTTGAGCCTCTCCTTTTTTCAGTTCCCATCCATTATTCCTTCTCTGGCCTTTGGGTGCCTTGGAACCAGCAGTGTTCCAGCAGCGTCTGAAAACTTGTCATAACTCCCTTTTTCCAATGCCTTTGTAAATTTCAGACGGTCACTAAATGAACAGTTGTAAGCCTGTACTACTTCACATCTGCAGCTGCCCAGAAAGCCAACACAATCCTAGGCTGCATAAACAGAGGGAAGGAATCAAGATCACGCGAAGTCTTAATGCCCCTTTATAAGGCCTCGGTAAGGCCGCACTTGGAATCCTGCATCCAGTTTTGGTCACCACAATGTAAAAAAGATGTGGAGACTGTGGAAAGAGTGCAGAGAAGAGCAACCAAGAGGATTAGGGGACCGGAGGCTAAAACATGAATGATTGCAAGAATTGGGTATGTCTGGTTTCATGAAAAGAAGGACCAGGAGTGACAGAATAGCGGTCTTCCAATATCTCAGGGGCTGCCCCAGAGGAGAGGGAGTCAAGCTATTCTCCAAAGCAACGACAAGGCAGGACAAAAAGCAACGGGTGGAAATTAATCAAGGAGAGAAGCAACCTGGAATTAAGGACAGTGACAGTGAGGACAATTAACCAGGGGAACAGCTGGCCACCTGAAGTTGTGGGTGCTCCCATCACTGGAGGTTTTTAAGAAGAGACTGGACGGTCACTTGTCTGAAATGGTATAGGGTCTCCTGTTTGAGCAGTGGGATGGACTAGACGACCTCCGAAGTCCCTTCCAATTCTTATCATTCTCATTCTAATCTTGTGCTGGAAGAATTATCCTTCTGGGTTTCGTTCCAAGCGGGGGGGGAAAACGACACTGGAAACACGGTGACTGCTTGAGAAGATGGTTTAATGGTGGACAGGATCACATGCCTTGGAGCTCTGAGCAGAAAAAAAAAAGGAACATATGCTAAGAGTTCCTGGGTTTTATGCCCTATGCTGGGATTTGAATTTGAGCTTGTATTCTGATTGGTTGCCAGACTCCCATGGGGCCATGCAGGGGCAACTCTGTAGGCTGTCCTGAGTGCCAGGCTTGGTTGAGCCTTGCTGGATGATGATGATAATGTAATGAAAGGGCTTTGAGATTCCTATTATGCAAGGGTCTTCAAATATTGGCGAGTTTTAAGACTTGTGGACTTCAACTCCCAGAATTCCTGAGCTGACATGACCGGAGGAAGAATTCTGGGAGTTGAAGTCCACAAGTCTTTAAAGCTGCCAAGTTTGAAGACCCCTGCTATTATGGGTCTGCCTGAAGGAGGTAGATCTTTGTTATGAAGAATAGACTGGCCCAGGCCTTAGTGGGGCATGAGCAAAGGGGGGGCGGGGGGGGGTTGAGTTTCTTCCTCTCTGAGTTTCTACTTCTCTTTTAAGGGAAATATTCTGCCCTTTTTTTAGTATATCCTATTTCATTTTTCTAAGAGAGGGGTGGTTTATAACTTCCAACACTTGAAAGCTGAAAGAAGCTAATAACTCACTATTTCCCAGGTGAGTGGCCCAAAGTCACCCAACCCAGGTTTCTTCATGCCTAAGGTAGACCCAAAACTCACCTTTTCCTGGTGATTGGCCCTAAGTCAAGTGCGGTACGAATACCACTCCATAAAGCCTTAAGAAGACCACACCTAGAGTACTGCATCCAGTTTTGGTCACCACACTGTAAAAAAGATGTTCAGACTCTAGAAAAAGTGCAGAGAAGAGCAACCAGGATGATGAGGGGACTGGAGGCTAAAACATACAACGAACGGTTGCAGGAACTGGGCCTGGCTGGTCTAGTGAAAAGAAGGACCAGGGGAGACATGATAGCATCTTCCAATATTTGAGGGGCTGCCACAGAGAGAAAGGGGTCGAGCTATTTTCCAAAGTGCCTGTAGGCCAGACAAGGAATAATGGATGGAAACTGACCAAGGAGAGAGATTCAACCTAGGAATAAGGAGAAACTTTCTGACAGTGAGGACAATCAACTGGTGGCACAGAAGTTGCTCTCGGAAGTTGTGGGAGTGGCTTTCAATGGAGGCTTTCAAGAAGAGACTAGACTGCCATTTGCTTTTGGGGGGGGGGTTGGACTAGGTGACCTATAGGGTCCCTTCCAACTCTGATTGTCTGTTATCTGTAAGTCACCCCATTGCCTTTTTTGTACCTGAAGCGGGACAAAAACTCTTTGCCATCCCCTGGTTTCCACTTGGGAGACTAGACTGCATCTGCCATGCCTAAAGATGAAGGAGGCAGATAAGCAGGAAGCCAAGCATCTGGTCTAAATGATCCCTTCAGGGCGGGGCGGGGGGGGGGGGGGTAGATAAGAAAGGAACCAAGTCGTTAAGGAAACAAGGAAGAAAAGTCACCTGACCCAGACAAAAGGATTGAAGCCTGAGCACATGGGAAGCCCCTCCCCAAAATCCCAGCAATGCCTCCCAGACTTTTGGAATCCACAAAGGGGGGAAGGTCTTGAGAACCAACAAAGCAAGGATTTTGGGGAACTGGGACGGGACAAAAGGGGTCTTGGAAGATCATCCACCCTTGGAGTGGTCCTTGGATCCAGACTTGGCACCTTCTATCCCTCTGGTTACTGCCTGGCAGCCTCATTGAGAAGGATGTGGGTAAGTGGGGATGAGTGTGTGTGTGTGTGTGTGTGTGTGTGTGTGTGTGTGTAGGTGGGACAGAGAGCTAACGAAACAGAATAACAAGAGTTGGAAAGGACCTCCGAGGTCTTCTAGTCCAACCCTCTTCTGCAGTAGGAGACCCTGTACCACTTCAGACAGGTGGCTGTCCAATCTCTTCTTGAAAGCCTCCTGTGTTGGAGCACCCACAATTTCTGGTGGCCAGCTGTTCCCCTGGTTAATTGTTCTCAACTATCGGGAAATTTATCCTTAGATCTAGGTTGCTTCTGCCCTTGATTAGTTTCCACCCACCGCTTCTTTTCCTGCCTGTTAGGAATATAAGTCACCATAACAGGTATCTGGGTTAGAAATATATAAACCAGGATAGACATTTTAACACTGTCTCTTTAAGAGCATGCTAAAAACTGCAATTGGGTGTGGTTACTCAAACGGCCATAAGATGGAGCCAGAAACCTGGGTTGTCTTAGCCTTAGTCTCAGAAGAAGAAGTCTGGGTGAGTTTGTTTCCTTCTGTTGGAGAGTTTTGCCCTTCCTCCATTTCTTCTAATTGACTGGTATTACTGGATTTAATGTAAGTCTGTTACTGAACTGCTTTTTGACACTGGACTTTGATATTTGGATTATCCCTGGATTGAAAAAAACTGACTGATTTAACTGTGAATGACTTTGGACTGCCTGATTCTGAACTTTGCTTAAACCTTTCTGGAAGTAAAAACCTACATTTAGTGTATCTGTGTTTTGTACGTGTATTATTCAAACACTCCTCTCAAATACGTCTCCCTGTACGCGCTCGTTCTCCTAACGGGGAGTTACCTCAACACTGCCTTCAGGTGCTTTGGAGAATAGCTTGACTCCCTTTTCTTTGGGGCAGCCCCTGAGATATTGGAAAACTGCTATCCTGTCTCCCCTGGTCCTTCTCTTCATTAAACCAGACATACCCAGTTCCTGCAACGGTTCTTCATATGTTTCAGCCTCCAGTCCCCTAATCCTCTTTCTTGCTCTTCTCTGCACTCTTTCCAGAGTCTCCATGTCTTTTCCTTACATCGTGGTGAGCAAAACTGGATCCGTTATTCCAAGTGTGGCTTTACCAAGGCCTTATCTAGTGGCATTAATACTTCACGTAATCTTGATTCTGTCCCTCTTGTTAATGCAGCCTGGAAGTGCGTTGGCTTTTTGGGCAGCCGCGGCACACGGCTGGCTCATATTTAAGTGATAGGACCCCAAGATCCCTCTCACAGTTTCCGCTGTTACACCGTACGTTATAATCAGCAGAAGTTTTTAAATTCACCGGATCTCTTGTCTGTTGTAAAGAAGGGGTTGTTCTTCGGTGCTCTCTTCCAGAAGGGATTGAGTGTGGCTTTTGACCAGAGCAATGAACAAGTGACTGTTGGAAGAATTATCCTTCTGGGTTCTGTTCCAAGTGGGGGGAAAACGACACTGGAAACACGGAGGCTGTTTTGGAAAGATGGTTTAATGGTAGACAGGACCACGTGGCTTGGAGCGCCAAAGAAGGAAGGAACGATGATACGGTTCAAAAATGTTGGGTGAAGGAAAAGAAGAGAGGTCTGAGGTGTTGAGAGTCCCTTATATACCCTCCGTTGGGATTTGAATTGGAGCTTGTATTCTGATGGGTTGTCAGACTCCCATGGAGCCATGCAGGGGCTGTCCTGAGACCCAGGCTTGCTTGAGCCTTGCTGGGTGCACTGAAGGGGCTTTGAGCAATTCCTATGTTAGCTTTACCTTTGTTACGTAGAATATTCTGGCGCAGGCCTTAATGGCCCACCCATTAACAAAGAGGAGGGGGTGTGAGCTTCTGCTTCTGAGTTTCTATTCTTTTTAGGGGAAATACTCTGCCTTTTTAGTATATCCTAAAATATTTCATTTTCCTAGCAGAGGGGCGGGTGATAACTTCCAACATGACCATAAGCCAAACGTAGGTCTACATGAGATACAGGCCAGCACCTTCCTCACCAACTAACTGATGTCAGGTGATAGCCAAATAACTTTTATCAGCTCTTCTTTTGAAAAAGTTTGAAAAGGACTGTGGCCCCAGTCCCACTTAACTGCAGGTATTCCTCAACTTAACAACAGTTTGTTTAGTCACTCCTCGAAGTTACAACGATGCTGAGGAAAGTGACTTACGGCCTGTTTCTCACATGACCCTTGCAGCGCCTCCACAGTCATGCGATCAAAATCTGGATGCTTGGCTCATATTTATGATGGTCGCAGCATGTCCAGGGGGTCGCATGATCGTCTTTTTGCAGCCTTCTGACCAGCCAAGCCCACGGGAAATCCAGATACCCTTAAAACAACCGTGTGACGAACTTAAAAGCAACACTTCGCTCAACAACCCTGGCAAGAAAAGTCATAAAATGGAACAAAACTCACTTTAAAAAAATGTCTTGCTCAGTCACGGGGATTTTGGGCTCCGTTGTGGTTGTAGATCGAGGTCTATCTGTAATTTAAAATTCAGGAAATTATTGTTGTTGTTGTTATTATTATTATTCTACACAAAAATTACAGTATACACAGCAAATGAGATAACTATGCTGGGTTTCGTATCACAAATCACTAGTCGAACACTTCCCAAGAGTTTAGGTCTGCATGATGTATTGGCAGATTATGCGAGCAGATCCCAGTTAAGGTGGCCTATTATTATTACTATTATTGTTGTTATTATTTAATCTTTAGTGAGATTCACAGCCTTTGGGACTGGTTGGCAGCTCAACAGCTCGAGTCCTAACCAAGGACCTAGGAACAGTTCAGGTAGCGTCAGAGGATATAAGCTGTTCCAAGTGGGGTGGGTTTTTTTGTAGAATCAGGGTATTCAAGTCTGATAAATTTAGAATTTCCAAATAGCGAGGTAGCCCTTTAGGTATTGCTCCAAGGGCTCCAATTACAATTGAGATAACTTATTATATTATACACAAAAAGCAACAATGTACACAGCCAATGAGATAACTATGCTGGATTTCGTATCACAAATCATAGTCGAACACTTCCCTAGTGTTTAGGACTGTGTGATGTATCGGCAGATTATGTGAGCAGATCCCAGTAAGGTGGCCTTCTGCAGCTGACCAAGGGTGATCTTGTCTGCACCAATTGTTTTTAAGTGCTTGCCTAGGTCTTTAGGCAGAGGAACCCAGTGTGCCCAGTACCACTGGAACCACCTGCACTGGTTTATGCCAGAGTCTCTGCAGTTCGATTCTCAAGTCCTGATATCTGGTGACTTTTTCAAGTTGTTTCTCGTCGATTCTGCCATCACCAGGTATGGCAATGTCGACAATCCACACTTTTTTCCTCTCCACAATCGTGATATCCGGAGTATTGTGTTCTAAAACTTTTTATCAGTCTGTATTCAGAAGTCCCACGGTAGTTTTGCATGCTCATTTTCGACCACTTTCTCAGGCTTACGATCCCACCAGTTCTTTGCTACAGGCAGATAGTAGTTGTGATACAAGTTCCAGTGGACCATCTGAGCGACTGTGTTGTGACATCATCATCATCTTTTTATTATTATTATTATTATTAATCATCATTATTTTCCAATAGGCGACGGCGCCCTTCAAAATACCGAAGACCCAAGCCTCTTCCAACTTGGTGGGCCTGGTCAGTCGGCAGGCACCCTCGGACCTCTTGCTGCCTCAGCAGAAGGACCTGGGGGAGGCCAGAGAGCTCACACCTTTCCACGCCGCGCAGAGTGGTGAAAAGCAACACGGCAAGGCAGCCTTTGGCAGGTACTGATCCCCAGCCTACATTCTACAGCAGGGGTGTCAAGCACAAGACCCGCGGGCCGGATCTGGTCCACGATGTGGTCGGATCTGGCCCGCGAAGCCGTCCTGGAAAACGTGAGGGACCAGCCCACGTCACTTTGTCCCGGTCTACCCAGTGCAAAAAGGAAACACGCCAGCAGTTTGGGGAGTGGGTGACGAGCCGCCTGTGCCCACCCAGTCAGCCCTGCCCAATGAGAGGTGTCGAGCTGAGCACACCCACCCAGTCGGCTATGACTTCCTGGTTTTTCTTTGAAAACGTTTCTCTTTCCATCCAAGAAGCTTCTTCGGCTCTGACCTGATGGTGGGGAAGGGAAGGATTGATACTCCTTGCAGACGGCTGGTCATTTGCGTCCTTTTTGAAAGCCGTTGAGGCCACTTGGAGGTTTTGTCTCTCTCCTCGGTCACCTGAGTGGTGCAAACGGGCGTGGAGTCTTCTTGGAGCTGCCGAAAGGACTGTGTTGTAGAAAGCTCCGCACCCATTTGCACTCTTCAGGTGACCCTGAGGACAGAGAACAAACCTCCAAGTAGCCTCAATGACCCTCTTGAAGGATGCAAAGGACCAGCTGTCTGCAAGGAATATAAACCTCTCCATTCCTCACCATCTGGTCAGAGCCCAAGAAACTTCTTGGGTGAGAAGCGAAACATCTTCTAAAGAAGAAAAAACCAGAAAGTCCAGTTGCCTCTTGAAAAAAGTGCTTTTGGGTCTATCTAGGTTAGTTGTGTTGACCGCTGCTTGATGGCACCTAATCAGTTAGGTTTCTAAGATTGCTGATAACCTCTCTTTCAGCGGGCCCTGGGAACACGTATATAATGAGGCTGCTCCCTCTTGTGTTGAGATGATAACAAGAGTTTTAATATTCTGGGGTTGATGTTGTTGTTTTTCTTGTTTTGTCTTGGATAAGTGGAAGTTATTATTTTTATAATGGCTATAATCCTTACACCCTATTTATGGTGGTCAGGCCTGGAAGCATTTAGCATCGATTGGAAGAGCTATATATAAGAGAGCTGCCTTCTAGCTTGTTCCAGCTGATGTCCTTGCACAAATCTTAAACCTTGAAGCCCTTAAAAGCAAAATAAAAGCCGTTTTCTGGAAGCAAAGAGTCCTCCTGCATGAGGGACAGTAGACACGCCTCGTTTCAAAGAACTCGCTCAAAAGCGAATTTCCCCCCCCCATCTGGGAGCCTTTCTTGGAAATATGTAGCTCGAACCAACTCCTTTTCCTGGCAAGATGTTCCCTATGGTGCTTTGTAAAATGTGTTTTGCATTTCTTACCACCACGGACGGATTAAAAACAACCCCCAAGGTTTGATTTGGTCTTTCGCTCGTTGCTTTTTCTTTTTTTTTCCTAGTAAAAATCATCTCCTGCAAGGGAAGGTTTTACAGAATAAAGTGTCTGTCTGTAGATTCTCTTATCATCCACGTCAGGCTTTTTCCAAAAGGCAACTGGATTTCCTTGGTTTTTTGTTTTTTTCCTTTGAAGATGACTAGGTGTCAGATACCCAAAAAAAAAACCAAAAAAATTCAGGTCCAAGAAAACGATTTTATTGCTAAAAAGGTTATGCCTAGGAATCTTCTCAATTAACGGTTTTAGCCCCCTGCTAGGCATTAGATAAGGGTCAATGGAATTCAAGACAGGGTTGAACTTGGTGACTATGTAGGGATTCTGGGCTGACCCCTCTTTTAACTCCACCTCCAGCTTATGCCTCTCCTTCTTCTCCTTACATTAGCCTAATTACACGAATATCAGGGTCTTTGCCCATCTGGAGAACCTCAAGGTTCTGGGAGCTTTTCTGAGAAAAGAAGGAAGCCCTAAACCAGGGGTCTCCAACCTTGGAAACTTTTAAGACTTGTGGACTTCAACTCCCAGAATTCTGAGAGTTTGAAGTCCACAAGTCTTAAAGCTGCCCTTTTT